CATATATGTAGTTTTAAGTTTCACAATTTTTGCGCACTAATCTTTGCACGATGACGAATACATCTTTTGGGAAATTTGGGATTTTATTTTTCTGTTCTTCCGCTATGCAGGTGATGTCGCCCCCATAGACTTCCCAGATAACCAAATAGATTAGTGTGCTATATATCCGTCTATATGATGGAGAACAATTGGTCTCATAGCTACTCGTGTGGAGACACTAGTGATACAATGCAGGTGCTCATTGGAGAATTAGTTATTGATCCGCTTATGGAATGTTGGATGGTTAATGATACATTATTGTCAGATAACGATTTTGTTGTCCCAGTGGTATACCCTGGTCCTTAGACTTGAGATACCAAGAATGTCCTGTATAAGTTATCCACTCTTTGATACTGGACTTATAGGTTTTGATATTCCAGATCTAGCACAGTTTGTTATCGGGAGTGACAGTCAACCTTACAAGGGCTATTGAGTGTCGATAGAGGATTATCTGCTCTCAGTGTTATAAGAGAAATATCTCATGTATTCTTGCTTAGACAAGTCCCTAGCTAGGCTCATTCAGATTGAAAGAGAAATAGTTCTCCGGGAGAATCCGATTAGAGTGAGACTCAAGTAGAAACCGTATAGGTCTGACAACACCATGCTTGGTTTACGGTTGCTAAGATATTAGATGGATAAGAGACTATAGGTATATGGTAATTGAGGACAAACAGGTCCAATGGATTGGATTCCCCTGTATCATCTAGGGACTGCGGCGTAGTGGCATAGTACGTTCGGAGTCGATGAGTTGAGTAAACTATTATGAAGATAACAATTCACTGAGCCAGAAGAAGTTCTAATAGGTATGACTCACGACCAGCTCGATATTGGGCCTAGAGAGTCACACACCTATGGTAGGCATTGTGATGAGTAGAGGTTCGGATATAAGATATCTACCAGAGCCCCTATCTTATTAGATATCCAATGAGCCTCTGAATTATTAGATCTTATGGATGAGATCAAATAAGAGTCAATGAGAGATTATTGGATAGAGACCCACTAATCTAAGAGGCTTGGGTAGTTGGATGGAGATTCAATACCTAATTGGGCATGATCCATTAAGGTTAAGTTGACAGGAGACCTCTATAAATAGGAGGGAACCAAATGTTTATAAGTTAGAGCCTTTATAGGTTACAATCTTTTATTCTCCTCTCAATTCTCCTCCTCAGATAACAGGCCTAGAGATTTGAGGAGCATCGTCGTAGCCCTATTACGTGGATTATCATTATAGAGGAGGATGCTTGACCTCCTTTAACCTCTCCCAGAGATCTATAAGGATTCAAGGATATACGATATCCTTAGGTAACACAATCTATCTCACATATGGCTTTTAAGTTTTCCGAATTTTACATACCAATCTTCACACGATGACGAATACATCTTTGGAAAATTTAGGGATTTTGTTTTTGTTTATCCATTACGCATGTGATGTCGCCCCTATATTTCCCTACAATAATAACTCTATAAGGCGAATATAAGGTGACCTCATCAACATATATTATAGTAACTTTTGCTACATTGCCCATCTTAAGGTCCATCTCGCCTCTCGCCAATCTCCTAAGTCTTGCCAGAACTTGCAATGAATTACAAATATGATAAGCACTACCAGTATATACCTAAAGCTTTTTCAAGCTTCTATTTCGCCCTCTCTGCAAGGTACTCTTTGCAGTTCCTCTTCCAGTACCCATCTTTGTCATAGTGGAAGCACTAGCCTTTGTCATTTGCCGAGTCTTTCTTAGCAACCTTTGCTTTACGTGGTCTGCCCTTACCCTTCTTAAGGGACTTTTTTGCTTTCATTTTCTTTCTAGTCTCACGGGTATAGAAAACTAACTTCTCTTTCTTGATAGTGCACTTTGCCTCCCTCAACATATTGAGGAGCTCAGGAAGAGTCACCTCAAGCTTGTTCATATTAAAATTTATTATGAACTATGAAAAGGAATCTGGTAGGGAGTGAAGCACAAGATCCACACACAGGTTATCCTCTAGGACCATTCCTAGACCTGTGAGTTTCTCTATCCACTCAATCATCTTTATGGCATGATTCTAAACTGGTGTCCCCTCAGTCATCCTAGTGTGGAAAAGGCTCTTGGATATCTCATATCGCTGAGCTCTTCCTTGTTCATCAAATAGTTTGCAGACAAGGAAAAGAATGGATTTGACATCCATCTTTTTATGTTATCTCTGTAACTCAGGAGTTATTGAGCCCAACATGTAACACCGAGTAAGAGTAGAGGTATCTATGTACTTCACATAGCGAGCGATCTCATCCTCGCTTGCCCCTTCCTCGGGCGTAGGCATCACTGTATCAAGGACGTACGAGATTTTCTTCACGGTGAGAACAATTATTAAGCTTTAGAGCCAATCTATATAATTCAGACCAGCGAGGCGATTGGCATTAAGTATGCCATGTAAGGGATTTAAATGTGATATTTTCTGAAAATAAAGATATAGTAGAAATAAATAACCTCGAGCGACTCGACCAATCACACTAAGCCCAAAAGATAGGTAACTCTTGCCAGTCATAACTCGTGATTCTCATCTTGTTCAACCTTCGAACTACCGTGGTATCGAGGGACTCGACCAACCATTATGTTTGGTTAAGTCAACACCATCGTTACAAGATGAGTCTGATTCGATGATGTAGCCTCGAGGGACTCGACCAAGCATACTATATCCTCAAGTCACCGATGACATCTCTATATCGTAGGCAAGATAGCAAATTACGATATAGGTGAGCCTCGAGGGACTCGACCAACTAAACCTACATCAAGAATCGGTCCCTACCTATAACGATGGAAGGCCACATGGGTCAATCTAATTACCTCATATTTATCGACTTAATATTATCGAGAGAGAGGATTTTGATTTTGCATATGCTATCATGTTATAAGGCTCACACTTATTTTATTCTCATTTGCATCATTAATAATAATGTTAGCTTGTCTTAGCTTATTTATTGATTTGTTAGGCTCCCTCAAACGAATATAAAATTTTGGAATAGTCCACCCGTTTACAACTTCTACCAAACATCTGTATAATCAGGTCTCTCGCCAGCTCACTCGTATAAGCACTTAAAAAATCCATCTCTATGGTACGACCCTCATCCGTCGATAACTAAAGTTTTTATCAAATACAAAATTCAAAACATACATGTCATGTCAAATACAAAATACTATAGATATCAAGGATAAGAAAATGCTTTGATAGGCCATGTTACTAGCATTGAATGCTTCAATTGTTTTACTTGGTTAGAACACAATGATTATAATGAGATATTTTGATTGATCATAATTATCGTATTGAACATTTAAATGCTTTATAGGGCTATAGTGCCTTGGTCAATCACTTCGGTATATTTAAAGTTATTCTACTTATTTTTAACTTTCTTTTAAAACAAAATATCATCTCACGTTTCACACTTTTCTTTTTTGGCTCACCAAAATTTGATATTCTTAAATTTATTTATTTCGAAATAGGATATATTTTGATTTTTATGAAGTAAAAAAATATATGGCAAGATCGAGGAATTAAATTCTAGAAAGTTTTTATTAAAAGTTCTGAGAATTAAAGTTTCTAAAAACAAAAAAATATCCAAAATATTGTACCTTAGTTGTTTTATAGCTATAAAGTTTAAAATTAATTTAAATTTTTTATGTTAGAATAAACAAATAATAAAATAAGATTTCTCAAATTCGGATTTGAAAATCGATCATAAACACAAATTTTAGGTTCTAGCAACACTCACAAGGAATAGCAAAAACATATATTCTGTTTTTTTAACATCAATCTTATTTTGTTAGTGGAAATAATTTAGTTATGTTTAATTAAACACACAAACAATCATGTAAATGTCATACACAAAAGGTAATATTAATTTACAAAGAACTAATAATTACTAAAATATTAACAAATAAATAACTATGAAGTGCAACGTAGTTAATATCAAAATTATAAAGAATGGTGCACAATTAATTTTTCATGACAATTATCAAACAATTAATCATTCATACATAATGTCAATATTTGTGATTAATTTTTAAGATGATTAGCTGCTCGCTAGATTTTTAATCGAATTTTTAGTAAAAAATTAAAACCGATCAGATTTAATTAAGAATTCTAATGAAAATATAAAAAATATAAATAGAAAGTTGTGGTAATAAAATTCCAACGAGTGTTGGATGCTTTCTAAGACAATTGATCCGATGAGAGTTTCAAACCTCATACAATATAATATGCTTATACCAAGAACCGATAATAATAATATTTGATGCATACTTATTAAATATCGAGGATTTAAAATTTCATCTAATAATCTTTTGTATCAAAGACATTTATGGTGATATACTAACGAAATATCAGTCAATAAATCTTTACTCTTATAATTTAAAGGTTCGAATACTCATTCGATAAATATTAGAGTTAAAATATTAGTCTATTAGAAGTATATTATATCCACTTATCAATTAATTTTACACTTTGGATATTAGTCGAATTCACATAATAATAGTTGAGGATTTGAAATATATTTGATAGTTTTTTATACTTCAAATATTAGCTTGATTATAATCTATTGTATCCACCTACAAAAGATTAAGGGTTCGAAATCTAATCCGTTAAATTTTAATATATAAACATTAATATGATGATGATGTACTATATTCGAGCTTGATTGGTAAACATGAGAAAGAGAAAAGTAATAAAGAAAAATATTACCTGATTTATATAAAATATAATATAAGCGACTGTTTTAGGTCCTTAATGAATCAGTAACCCATAAGAGTTACACCATCAAAAACATTAAACTAGGTTAAATAAAAATGGTCAACTTAGCACTGAAATGGAAAGACCAAAAAGAAAGAAAGAGAGAACAAAATGGAAACACAAAAATGAAAAGGAGTTAAAGAAAAATGCTGAATTTTTATCCCTCGATCACAATATAATTCTCTCTCTCTCTCTCTCTCTCTCTCTCTCTCTCTCTTTGTGTGTGTGTGTATGTGTTTGATCCCGTAATACGAATAGGAACACAGTGCAGGAAAGAGGGAAAGATGAAGAAGATACTCCGTTCCAGTAGTCGTGCCGAGAAACCCCCGGCCGAGATGAGCACGACCGGCGGTTCCACCGATGACAGCTCCGAGTCTCCGGCTTCCACCCCCTGCGACGTCGACGACCACAACGATCCCTCCTGTTCGAGTTTACCCCAGACCGTCTCCTTCTTCGCCCACCCGCAGCATGATCTGACGTTAGTCTCCAAGGTCGACGAAGTGAAGGGATCAGAGGGCGAGTGCAAGCTTTGCTTCGAGAAGCTGGATGCCACGTTCTACCACTGCAAGGCGTGCCTGCTTAGCTACCATCCGATGTGCGCGCAGCTGTCGCCCACGCTGATTGAGTCAGCGTCGCACCCGGAACATGAGCTGGCGCTGGTCCCGCATCTCCCCGGCGTTTGCCT